GAATCTTCTCCCCTTTGTCCTACACTTCCTCCTTCTGAAGTATAGCACTCCTCTCCTAGAGTCCATTCTAATCTGTTTGAATACCACTATCTTGGCCATGTCATTCTGGCCTTCTCCTTCCATTCCAAGTATAGTCTTCTTTCAACTGTTTTATATGTAGCCAAATCCCCCCCCCCCACCAGCTTACTTGGAATGTGCCGTCATCCTCGTAACAAAAAAAGCATCTATAAGGGGAAACCTGTAGGCACAGTCCAATCTCTTGCAAATTAATTACCATCCAAAGCCCAGCAGCATAAGCATCACTTGAGAGTTTACTATAAAGACAGAACCTCAGGCCTTGCTGCCTGGCTGACTCCAGGCGGATTGTGAATGCAGCCCCAGATGACACTGATTCTTGATAACTGCACTGTGCTATTGGTCCTGTTTGTACCTATCTTAATCCTGTTTTTAAGCCCACTTCTCCTTAGGGAATATTTTATCACAATAATGGATTTTACACCTTGATAAATTATACATGTGCCTAGATTTAAGGTGCAAAAGTACAGATCCAGCTTCATATCTGTCTGGGAACCCAAACAAAGACTTCTAGCACAAACCACTTGCCTATACAAAAAGAAATAAATATTAGACCAAATGATAAAGGAAAATTGACAAATACTCTTATTAAACAGCTCACAGTACAACTTGACCCTAGGACGCGTTATTGCTGACCTTCCCCCATCATGATTTATACAGTGAGCCCTACTCCTTTCCTTGTGCAGATTTTCTCAAGAAGGCTACAAGTGTCCCCCAAAGCCACATCCTTTTTTATCCTACCCTGCTGGGTCTTCTAAAACCTTCCCAGGTTTTTCTGTTTGTTTATTTGGTTGGCTGGTTGATTTTTTTGTTTTGTTTTGTTTTGTTTTGTTTTTTCTTTTTCTATTTCAAAAGCATATCAAACATCCTGTTTGATTAGTACTTATATAGTTAACTGCTTATCTCTGAGCCAGCCACCAATACAAATGGAGTCTATATGCTAATGGGTTTAAGCTAATAAAGGTTCTAGAAAGGGGAGAATCCACCAAGAAAGGAAAAACTTGTGGCTGCTGCTGCTGGACAGACAGCTACCATAACAGACATGCATTTCTCTTTCCTTTAATCTTGAAACTGCTTAGGACATCCAGCATTACAGCCCATATTAGCATAGGTTATGGGAAACCCCTTTTCTATTTTAAACATCATAAACATTTAAATATTGTTATTTTATGTCATCATGCTCTATCACTATTTCAGTGATCGAGTCTAAAGGACCCTGACTTACCTCCTCCCAGAAAAATAAAGCAGCCACAGAGTTCTTCAGACCACTCCAAAAACCACTCCAGAGCGGTTTGCCACACATAATAGAGGGTGCCCTTGAGGGGCAGGGCAGCAGCCAATGACCAGTTCTGGCTAAAGACCTTTGTATTTTTCCAAAGCTCATAAGCAACATAAGTGACCACAATGTGTTTGAAATATTATAGCACGTTCCTTCAAGGGACAATGTGTCTAAAACTAGATGGAAAAAAAACTTGTAATTTCTTAGATTAAAAACTGTAGACAGGAGAGGTTAACAGTCAAAAGTAAAATAAGCATGGGTTCTGCGTTGTTTCATAAATAACCCTCGGGGTACAGGGGAACTTGGTAATGAAGAATTCAGAAACCTGCTTCCCCTGTGCTGTTCCCCATGCTGTTCGTGTTTGCTCTACCTGAATCGGGGTTCTCCAGACCTGTCAGTGTTCACACTTGACTGACATATGGAAAACCAATGGAGCTGAAGATGGAAGTTTCGGAAAGGGGGCTCATTTATCTTCGTCTTCGTGGTCAAGACGTGTGCTGCTGGTCAGGGTGGCTGGTGTAGAGAAAGTGCACAGAGCCTCACGGGACAATCACCACATCTCAAAAGAACCAGTAACACCCGGGCCTCCTGAATTCTCACAATTGTAAAGGCAATTCTGTTCTCAATCAGAAACATTTTGTATGGCTCTTGGCTCTGCCACTTACTAAGGATACTTACTCTCAGCTCCAGTTTCCTTTACATCAGAGGGTGATTCTTCTCTCAACAGTTGGCATAAAAATAACACGTCCCAGAAGCCTCCATGACCCAGCAAGCCTAAAGGCCATTCTCTCCCCTCTCCCTTATCATTCACAGTCAGTTCAGACTTTACAAACACACAGCTGCAGAATGTCCACTGTCCACACACCTTTCTGATTGCTGTCCTTGGATGCCCACAGTGATTAGCTTGTGCCATCACATGCACATGGAAAATTATACACTTCGTAATATCTTCAAATTTCCATGTAAAAATACATGCAGAAACCAACAGAAAAGGGCCAAAAAGGTGTGGCCTATCCCCTAAGTGAAGGCAAAGCCTTAGCAAAGTTAGTTCAGCACAGCTTCAATCAAGCACAGCATCGAGAACAGCAACAAATATCTCTCCTAAGACCCCCTCACCCCCAAACCCTTGAAGGTTCGGATCTCACTTATTCAACTTTATCTTCTCCTAAATGCCCTTGCCTATAAATATTAGGCACATTCTGATAGGAACAGCAAGCTGGACTACCTTGAAGAGATTAACAGCGTGTTAAATTGTTTAAAAATCTAAAATAGTAATGAAATTAAAAAGTAACGGATTAACCCACACCTGATCAGTAGAGTCAGAGGTAGACTCAGGCGTTCCACCAGATCTAGGTCTCACCTTCCACCATCTTGGACAAATACTTTTTCTTTCTTCAATTTAGTTTCCTTAGGCATACAGGATATGAACTTTTCTAAAATCTCTAACAGCTCTAAACTTAGGTGTCCAAAGTTTCTGCACACGTGTGTAGCAAGTCTCCAGAGATGGGAAACTTAACTTATACTGAAGGACATGAGGAAGAAGTTCCCAAGCTGTCCTTTACTGAATACTCTTGTGGCTCACAAATATAACAGAAGGCTCACAGAGATATAAATTTTGTGCCTTGTGTTGCAGGACAGGAAGGGGAAGAGCCATCCTAGAGGTACTGATGTTAAGTTTTCAGCTGTGGAGTTGGGGCTTCATGTGTCTGTGGATCAAGGGGTGGCTCTTTCCTACTTCAGTAGCAAGTATGTGCTAAACACTGGATCTTAGCACAAAACACAGCACAATGATGACTAAGAAAGGGCAGTGCCTTCCGAGTGCTGGGATTAAAGGCGTGCACCACCAGCGACCCGCTTGTGTGTTCCTACCACTGCCCAACCACTCTCTTTTTTATTATTCTTTTTAAAACTATTTTATCCTGTTTCTTTTTCTCTCCCAAGCCTACGTATATTTTAAAACACACTGTAAACCTTTAGAGGTTTTTCTTAATCTGAATCTGTCTTTACTGTATCCTTTTATGGCCACGAGTCTTTATCTGGTAAACAACAACACTGCTAAAATGAAAGCCATGGTCTATTCAAGATGGTGGAGGGTACTTTTACAGCCAGAACTGAGAGCTGTGCTCACTGCCTTGGTCTATGCTGCCATCCAGCAGCATGTTGCTGGCTTGGAGATGTGGTCACTGCCATTGCCGGCTCTCCTACACACCATTCAGTTGTTAGTAGAACTCTTTAAAAGCTGTGCAGTTTTTTGCCGCTTATGATGAGTCAGAAAACCTCCCTTAAAGGACCCGCACAAGTCTCTGCTTGTCTCTAGCAAAACAAAGTCCAACCGAGAAAAATGCTGCTACCAAGAAGTCTTGTTTCTGTTCTTTTGTTTCCTAAAACCTTTCTTAAGCTTTTGTTAAGTTTTAAGTGGAAGTTCTTATTAGCCACATTGTGGCACCATTATGTTATGAGAGGTTTTCCCTGCCAACCTGGTCCCACCGCTGCGCCAGCCCCAAATAACACTCAGAGACGCTGTATTAGATATAATGCTGTTGGCCAGTTACTTGTTTCTTACTGACTAGCTGTGTCTTAAATATATTTCTATTAATCTAAGTATTTCCACGTGGTCTCATCTTACCAGAGAGAGGGCCCGGACCTCTGTTCTTTCCATTCTCTACATGTTGACGCCTCCCTACTCCTTCCAGAATCCTCCTTGTCTCCTAGACCCACCTATCCTCCTTTCCTATTGGCCAACAGTGCTTTATTCATTAACCAATGAGAAACATATTTACAGAATGACATCTCCCATCAGAGCAGGCAGCAGATACTGTGGGATAAGGAAGAGGGAAAGAAAGGGGTTAGTGTGGTGATACATTATTTACGATTTAATAAAGCTTGCCTGAGGGTTCACACTACATAGCAAGCCACAAACCGTAGAGTCATGCAATGGTGATACACATCTTTAATTCCAGCAACCATACTAGCTATCCACAGAGCCAGGCAATGGTGGCACACACCTTTAATCACAGCACTCAGGAGACAAGCAAATGGATCTCTGTTAGGTCAAGGCCACACTGAGATACATGAAATTGATCCAGTCTAAAAGAGAAACAGCTCTCACATAGGGTGATCTCAGCACTTGGGATCACATACTCAGCACTTGGGAACTTTAGGTATATAAGGTAGGAGCAGATATTCAGGCTAGGGCATTTTGGTCCCCAGCCACATAAAGGGTAGGACTGCTTCAACCTGGGTAGAGGTAAAAGCTAATGGCTTGGCTGCTTTGCTTCTCTAATCTTTCAGGCAAACTTTATTAATCATAAATAATATATCACCACAGGGTAGGGGAGAGGACAAGAGGGGAGGGGAGGATTCTTGGCAGTGGGTAGAGTATGAGTCAATGGCTAGGAATGAGCCCACAGTTTTATGTGCACAGAGGCAACAGTGGCATGAGCTGTGTAGAAAAATGAGCTGGAGCTGATGGAGACCCAGAAATGGCAGGCTGTGGGTTCAAGAATATAAACAGACCAACAAAATAAACTAGGAACTCTTAAATGACTGACTTCACACTAGACTTCACAGGATTGCTACTCATGTGTTCAATCTACTTTGTTTTACTGTAACAAAAAGGGAGAAGGACGAATGAAAATTCCAGAAATGTAATTTAAATAAATTTATTTATGAGAGGAAAACATCTGAACATCAGGCACAGTTTGATCAGTCCACAATGACCCAAGGATGTCACGACTCATCTGGAAGCACTCTCAGGCAGTCTGCAGGAGATCCATGTGGAGGATCAACTGAACCGTTTATCAAAATTCATAAAGCCATCTAAGCCAAATATGACAAAATATGCAATGACCATGATACAGTAATAAAAATACAATATCAAATACTCACTACTTGTGAGTTATAAACTACAATATAAACATTTTAAAAATGAAAAAAAATATTTCTATTACAGCCTCATTTGAAGCACTTTCAGTTAAATACAGCTTTGTATATTTTACTCTTAACAGCCAGCAAAGGAACACCTTCTTCAGTAACTGTTTTGCCATCAGTGCTCTGAAGTATACTTTCACACGCAGGAGGTCAGATAGAAAATGATGATCAGAGCTTGGAGCGTCTTCATATCTGGTAAATCTTTTCTATATTTAGGAAAAAAGAAGCGAGGATGTAAAGAAGCATGATGGCTCTTCTGGAGCGAAGAGGAGTTCTCAGTCCAGAGAATGAACTCGCCATTCAGATTTCAAAAGGTGTGGTCCTAAAGCCAAATTCCTTCCAGTCCAGGCAGTTGCCTGCTCCTGTGAGGCAACTGAAGGATGAAGAAGCGAAGTAGGAGGAGAGTGTGAGCTGACTACAGGAATGGTCACTGATAAAACATGTTCCTACACAGCCTGGGCCCAATCCTGGGTAAGAAAACAGCCAGAACTATCAAGACAGTGTGTGTTCACTGAACTGCACACATGGAACTCCGAGGTGGGTTAACAGTTCTTGACATGGGCTCCTGGTTGTAGTTTACAATATCTGCCTTCACCACCCTCTGCCATGAAAGAAAAGAAATATTATCAGGACATCAGAAAAAGCTCCTGAACATCTATTGTTTTCTGAGCTCCAGTGAACTTCTCATGATAAACATGAAATAGGAGTTGGTATTAAAAACAATTGAGCAGAACTACTAAATAGTCACATTTAGGGTTTTCTTGTTTGCCGCCTTTTTTTTTTTTTTTAAAGGAAGCAAATCAATTATGAGTCATGCCTGGTTTTGTTGTTGTTGCTTTTGTTTTTGTTTTTTTTTTAGCATTAACTGAGGTTATCACAAGTCTTATTAACAACTCACAAATCAATATGATTTAATTTTAGTTAAATTTAAAATCATTCATGCACGATAAGAAATCAGCATTTCTAAGATCTTCTTTCATGATCATTACACATGGCTATAATTTTGTGAATTTGAAAAAGTAGTATATTTTAAAGGACCCACATAAAGCAGAAGTGTCCCGAGCAACGCCACTGTTAAAAACGTTTCCAGTTTTCAAAACATTCCTCTCAGAATACTTACTTCCAAATAGTTCACTATGGGTTATGCATAATGACTCTAAATAACATATGACATAGTGAGGAATTTAGAAAATCACATCATGCCCATGCCTATATATCAATTTAAACCAAAAGATACTTTCACTCTGCCTTCCATTTCATACTCAGCCTAAAACAATGAACTCAACAAAATGTCTAACACCCTTCTCTTTGCAAAATTTGAAATGAAAACAAACTATTGGTTTCAGCTCTTACGAAGTCTATGCACACAGAGAAGGGCAGTTCAAGCCTTTCTTTAAAGTAATTTAAAATACCCTTTCAACTGCCATCGATTTCAGAGGGAAAATGGTAAAGGAATTACTAAAGAAAAAAGCGTTCAATCCTCTGCACTGCGTGTGTGATAAACACCCATAAAGATCAACATGCTTGAAAGTAATTGAAATGGTATTTTAATTTAATGTAGCTTCCCTGGCAAATGACCAACTTTTCAAAATTCTAAACCATGACTTACATCATTTTATTTATAATGTTCTTTCATAAAGAAGAACAGAATAACATAACTAGCCCCCACCCCACTCCCCAAATGGCAGTAATTCACCCATAAGTACCTGCGCTACTGTACTGAACAGACTCTACTCTGAGAAGAGCTGGGGTGTTCATTATCTTCTTCCGGGTACTTGACTATTTCTGCCCTGACAATACGCTGTCAATTCCGTACAACATAAACAAGATGAAGGAGAAAGAGGAAAAAGAGAAAAAGAGAAAGACAAAATGAAAAGCATGTTTAACGACTGACAATAGAAGGGAACAGCAAGGCAGAAAAAGGAAATTAACACATGAATTTAAACGTGTCACAAAAGAATCAGCAGGATGTTTACACATAAAAGGAAAGAAAAGTAGGAGAGACCCAATAAGCATAATTCTTTATAATTCTCTTCAGCCACTGGGACAGATGCATGCCCCTGAACTTCTTGGCATTAGAGGACTATGAAGAATTATTGGACTCGTCTATGCTAAAGTGCAATGGAAGCATTTGTTCATTTCCTTTGACAAACATTACTGATGCTCTACTATGGTAGTCACTCTCTGCTAGGAGTGCATAAGCAAACCACCTGAAAGATTTATTCACATGTTATTAGAGACCTAATGGGCAAAGACACACAACCAGTTCTCACACAAGTGCTTCGGTAGTGAGTGTAATGCTCTAGGGACACAAAGGAAGACGGAAACTCTGTTGTTTCAAAAATCAGAGGTAGACAAGTGCCCTTTACAGCTTCCATATTTATACTTATTACTCTCCCAGGGTTTCGTATGCTGCTTACTTCCCACTCCTCCTAACCCCATATTTCCAAATTTCCCATGGAAATCACTTCAAATGCAGTTGTGAGTCATGTAAAAAAAAAAAAAAAAAAATTCTAAAATACACTATTAAAGTGCAACAGCTGTTTCTTTCAAGAGTGTTGCTAATAAACAAAACCATGGTACTAGATGCTAGTTGTTCTCTCCTTAGAGATAGGACTCTATGGAAGAACCATGCATAGACAAGTAACAAGCACATCTTTAGATCTGAAGCCAGGAGTTCTCTCTGCATGACTACACAGACCTCTTACATTTGTTCATTCACATGTACATGAAAACACATTAGCTGGAACGGCTGTTTGTGAAGACATGTCTTAACAAAGAGTTGATAAACACTGACAGTGAGTGAGCAGGACTCCGTAGTATACAAATGTGTGAAGGTAGTTAGCTTCTGTGTCAATTCGCTAGTGAACAGTATTGACTTCTGGACAGCAGTCTTCAATTACTAGGCACTTAGCCTGCTGCATTACCAACTGACAGATGAGGTGCAAGCAGGATACATCAACGACTCCTATGCCAAACTATGGATTACAATGGAAAAGGGGGATTTTCACCACCAGCAAATAAGTCATTGATCAGACAAAACATTGTTTTAAGCCCTATTTATAAATACAGCCAGGTTACTGACCTGTGTGCAAGGCACTGGGGTCAAAGTACTAACTAATGTAAATGACTAGCTTTTATCATTAATTTTATCCACAAGGTAAGTTTTCCTTGGAGTCTTGACTGTTGGACATGAAACTATGTGCCATGTTTCCAAACCTGAAGCTACATCAAAAGGCTTTGAAGATTCAAAGCTTTGCTTATTGTGAGTAGAAAAACGTTTCCTTATCATAAATGAACCCATGCACTGCTGGTTGGAATATAAGTTATCCCAAACAGTCTGAAAATCAGCATGGAGAGTCTTTAAAGAACTAGAAATAGACCTGCCATATGATTCAGCAATATTGTGGTCCCAAAGCAACATATCATAAAGATCCCTGCACAATTTCCTTTTGGAGTCCATTCCCTATGGTGGAATACCTGCTCAGCCTTGATGCCAAGGGGGGAGCAACTTGGTCCTGCCTCAACTTACTTATATGCCAGGCTTACTTGATTCCCCATGGGAGGCCTTACCCTCTCATGGATGAGCGTGAGAGAGAGGGAGAGAGGAACATGGGAGGAGGAGAGGGAGGGGGAACTGAGGTTGGTATGTAAAAATGAATAGCAAATTTTAAATAAAAAAAGAGCCCTGTGCATCTGTGTTTACTGTTGCATGAATTTTAATGACTCTTAATAATATCCTCAAGTTATATATTAGCAGGTTGGGGGAGGGTGCTGAAAGATCAGAGAAGCAGAGTGGCCAGCAGTAGCTCTTCCCTCTACCTCAGACCTAAGGGATGATCCTGTCCTCAGACTGCCTCCTCAGACTGCTTCAGACTGACTGCCTAGACTGCCGAGCTCCTGTCTCCTCCCACTTTATATTCCTATCTCTACCTAGCCATATCCTTTCCTGTCTTCACCTTCTTAGTGCTGGGATTAAACACCTATCACTCAACGTGCTGGGATCAGCTCTGTGTGAGCTCTGTTTCTCTTTTAGAATGGATCGACTTTACATAGCTCAGCGTAGCCTTGAACTAACAGAGATCCGTCTGACTCTTGCCTCTGGAGTGCTGGGATTAAAGGTGTGTGCCACCTCTGCCTGGCTAACTTTGCACTCTGACCTTCAGGTAAGCTTTATCTGTTAGATCACCACAGTTTACTGCAGCACTTTTCATAGAATATGTAATAAAGTAATCAGAGTTATATACAGAGATACAAATGACCAGTAAATACATTAAAAATATTTTCAACATCCTTAGCCAACAAGAAACTGTATATCAAAACTACACTAAAATTCCGTCTCATCCCAGTCAGAATGGCAACAATTAAAACAAATCATTCTGGCAAGGATAAACTGCTGGTGGGAATGTAAACTAGGGAAGCCACTATGAAAATCAAAGAAATAAAACTGAGCCTTCTGTACAATACAGCCATAACTCTTCAGAATACACGCAAAGGAATCTAAGTCAACACACTAGACAGACATCAAACACCCATGTTTATAGGAACTATTCATAATAGCCATTACTTCAGATCAGCCTAGGTATCAAGCAACAGGTGAACAGATAAAGAACTGGGATGCATGTACACTTTGTAGTACAGTTCAGCCAGAAAGAATAATGAAAGTATGCTATTTTCAGGCAAGCAGATAGAACTGGAAATGAGCATGTTAAGAGGAATGAGCCAACATCACAAAGATGAATACATTTTCTCTCATATGCCTTTCTAGATAAAATATCTGGCATGAAATATATTTATAAATATATACATATATGTTACATATACATAGATACATACAAATGATACATAAGCAAAAGAATTATTGGTAGAGAAAAGGGAGCTAGTTCTAAGTGCTTAAACACATATTCACATAGGCGTAGCCATGAGAGTCCCTCACAGAACTAATTTATAAAATAATCAAGTAAATATTGAAAGGTATGAAAAGATAACAAATGTTTTTAGTTGCATGGAATGGCACAAGGAGAAATTTGGGGGAAATGTCAGTTTTGTTGAACCAGATTACTCTTACTCCAAGTCTTCATTTTATAAAATGTATGATTTACGGAGCAGTTACATGGCATTTTTAAGCTCTTGACTGCTGATATTTGTTTACTTATAAGATTATCTAGGAATACTAAAAAAGTACAGAAAACTTTAGTAACTAATAATGTTCAAAATAATATAAAGAAATAATATTACTACATGCATTTTAAAGATGATCGGATAACCCTAAAGAAGCTTAAAGTATAAGCAGGGCCTAAATCCCTGCATTTGGAAGGGGAAGGCAGGAGGAAGCCAACAGAGGCTTCATATTGAGGGCCTCTCTCAAACAAGCAAGAACAAATACAAAACAGGATTCTCCGAACCTTAATCCATTCAGTAAGAACTGATAAAAATTTCATTCCTTTTTTTTTTTCCACCAAAAGGGACAAAAATTACAAGATTATCATTATTTTGTAAAAATTAATTTTCCCAGCTGGACAAAGCAGCCTTACAGACTACAGACAGGATTTCTGCATCTTCTTAGAATCCCCCATGACAGCGCCCCTTACCAGCAGGAAGTAGTTTGGAAAGAACGATGCCCAAATTCCCAAATATTGTCTATAAATGTTTGTTTTCATTTAAATGGACTTGGTTATATAAAATAAATAAATAAATAATACACAAGTAACATACAAAAAATTAATTTTCCATGTTTTTTAATAAACATTATACATATAATCTATTTCCAAGGTTTTGGTGATTTGTACATAAAACAAATGGGAAAGAATTTATGCATAAAAATTAATGTCACAGAAAATTTGTTACTTTTTAAAATATAAATTTTAAGATAATCACCTGTGACTGTTCTATTTCTGCTTTGTTTAATTTGATTCCCAGGATTTCTGCAGCAACTTTCTGAAAACACAGGAAGACCTACATAACAAAATAGGTTTAAATGATTTAACGCAGGCATGCTTCAGTTACCTTCAAATACACTGAACTTTCTAAAGAAGGATAAACAAGTACTCCAAAAATGGCCCACCTGTCAAATATGGTAACAAATAAAATCATTTTAAACCACAATTTGAAAATTCACTGAATTAGTCTAAACACGCATTTATTACTAAAAACATTTTAAAGAATTTTTAAAGATTTCTTCTTATTTTAAGTGTTTAAGTGTTCTGCCTGCATGTATATATGTACTGCATATGTGTACTTGGTGCCTGTGGAAGTCAGAAGCCGGTGTCCAATTCCCTAGAGTTTATAGATGGTTATAAGGCACCATGAGGATGCTGGGAAACAAACCCAGGACCTCTGTAAGAGCAGTAAGTGTTTTTAACAGCCGAGCCATCTCTCCAAAGATTTAACATAAAAATTACAATGGTAAATATAAAAAACACACCAATAGCATAATATAATCCCTAATTCCTGGAGAAAATGAAAGTGAGTTCATATATACTTTATTGCTCTGCTGTTTGACTGTCTGGTCTATGCTGCTCTTGTGAGATGGCTTTAGTCTGTTTTAGCAGGTCTTTCTCTCCAAACCATAACACTGTTGGTTCTCTTATCAATGGCAAAACTCTCCATTATTCCCTAAGTAAAACAACTTGGTACCATTTACTGTGTTTTATCAGCTTGGGGTAAAGGAGTGATACAGTCCATTACAACTATACATTACGAGCATTTCTATAAACAGCCTTTTGTATGTGGTTGGCTTTTCCCAGGTCCTCAACAATCTTGAGAGCTTCAGGCCTAACCATATCTTCTGACCATTTTCTGACCATTCCTGACCAGTTTTGCTCTGTAACTGTCCTACCAGGATCCTACCCCAATTCATCTCAGGATCACTTAGTGAATGTAATCCCAACTTTACTAAGTTAATTATTTCTAGAAGACTGGAGAGATGGTTCAGAAGTTAGGAGAAATTAGGAGGACCTAGGGTCATTTCCCAGCACCTACATGGTGTCTTATAACCACAGGTTAACTCCAGTTCCAGTGGATCCCATGCCCTCTTCCAGCCTCCATGGGGTCCTGCACATATGTTAAACACATAAAAAACCTTGAACAGGCAAACATATTCACATGAATTTAAAAATAAATAAATCTTTAAACAATTAATGTTTTCTTGAAAATTAACATTCATAAGCAAGGCCCTGGATTTGAGCCCCAGCATCAAAAGAAAGGAAAAAGAAAAACTAAATCAAACAAAACCTAGAGAGTAGTCAGGTGTGATGACTCAGGTCTTTATCCCAGCACTCAGGAGACAGAGGCAGGTGATCTCTGACTTTAAGGCCAGCCTAATCTACAGAGCAAATTCCAGGACAGCTAAAGCTAAAAAAATGAAAGCCTGTCTTGTAAAATCAAACAAACAAAACAAACAAAAACAAAAACAACAACAACAACAACAAAAAAACCCAAACTGGACAGAGACAAATATTTGCAAGACAATCTGTTATTGTCTATAATATGAGATGTGGACATAGTAAAACCAATGAAAAATATGTGCTGTTAAGTAGAGAGTGAATAATTAATAAAATTTTACAAATTTCAACCTAAACTCTCATCAAAGAAATTCAAAATTAGTGAGGGTTGTATCATTATTGTTGTGTTCTTATTTGTACTGATATACAACTTTAGCAAAGAATTAAAACAATTAAATCCTTAATATTACAAGGATTTGTTTAATAATAGGAAAAGACTAGGTTAGTTTAGTCTTTCTCAGGAGCAAGTGGCAATATGCTCCAGTCCCCTGTCTATCTAAAGGAAATAAAGCATCAAAAGTTATTAACAAAATTTCATAAGAACACATTTGACACTTAGAAAAGCCCTACATGTCCAACAACAATAGGGCATGATTCAGTATATTTTTGAACATTTAGCAGATGACAAAATTTATTTTGTAACATTAAATGGCATGGAAAATTTTTTACAGACAAAAATAGTAAATAAAAAAGTACACTATAAAGCTATTTCTAGACTGGATCTGAATGTTTAAAGAATATTTGTTATGGTTAAAATGGTGGGCCTGGAATATCACTACTTGGGCTCACAAACCCTATCTCTACCACATAATACCTATGTAGACTGAGACCTGTGACATGAGCTCTAGAAGATATCTACAAAATAGAGATAATCAGAATATATAACATCCATCACAAAGTAAGCAGCAGTAATTACAATGAGGCCTTCCAACTAAGAGCACTAAAGAATCCTCTGAGACTCAAATGGGCATCTCTGGAGACTTGGGTATTTTGTAATTCTTGTTAAATCAACTATAAAATTAACCAATCCAAAACAAGCATTCTCACTCTCCTATTTATGTCTTCCTTTCAAACACATCCAGTGCTCCTTGTTAGGAAATAGAAGTGTATTTTCAGGAACACTTGAAGACAAAGCATCACGTACAGCACACTCCACTGTTTTACTTACAGAGTCTCCTGTCTTGGCTGAAACGAAGTGGCTACTAAAACCATTTTCCTGGCAAAATCGTAAGTGTTTATCAGGTTTTACTGTTCGCATATGCTCCAAGTCAACTAGAAAAAATGTTAAAGAGAGAACAAAAATCAATATTAGAATCAATAAAGGTATTTTTTAACATGTTGAAATTTGACTTACTTTCCAATATCATTCATTTCCCACTGTGTAATCAATCCTAGGCAACTTTCTAACTTCTTTGTTTCCTCATAATAAACTGTGAATAATAAACACACCTATTTAATATGGTATTCTTTCAGAATTAGTCCATGAATAGAGAACAAAGACTGGCAATGTGCTCAAAAATACATGCTGTTACTATTACTGTAACATCACCTATATAAATTCACACACCATGACAAAGTTCAAAACACATCTGCTCAATGTAGTACATTAAAGTACAGTTATTAACTGAAGATAGGATGTACATGAGCATATTTGGCTAGAAATAGTTTAATTACTTACAAGATAATTTAATAATTACAACATTTCTGAAATATTTTATATTACATAGCTACTTTAACTTATTCACAAACACAACTTACTTTCACAAAGAAGCTCCTGTTTTCCAAATCATTAAGTACCCATTTTGAGAATAATGAGCAAGATCTACTTCCTGGGCTTTAGAGCAATGTGTAACAATAAGAAGAAGAAGAATGCATGAACTTGAGGCAAAGGGCGTGCTGGGAAGAGGTGTGGTAGGAGAATGATATAAATACAGTACTCATGTATAATATAATTAATCTCATCTTGCTTTCTCTCTTTTATTCAGTCCATGACTCCAGCCCATGGAATGGTGCCATCTACAGTGGGCACCTCAATCAGCCTAATGTAAGTAATTCCTCATAGGCATGCCCAGAGATTTGTCTCCTAGGTGATTCTAGATCCCATAAAGATGGCAATCAAGATTAACCATCACATGAGGTATTGGAACTAATTATGCAGTATGGTACACTTGTTATTTACACCAAGGAGAGAGAGTTTGAACAGGCTAACTTTAGGCATTTGCTAGATTCTCTTTTAATGTTCAAATCAAGGAAAATGACATTCTGTGGAAAAATAAAGAAAAAATGCAGTACAATCTCAACTCAGTTAAAAATGAATTATTTGTCTACTTTGGTTAGGATAAAAATATAATTTTGAAAAGATAGTACTACCATTCCATGAATACCAGAAATCAGAGTGCTTTTAAAGATACTATCTGTTTGTAACACAAATTGTTGAAGAAGCTACTTATTGCTCCTCCTCTGCTTCAGCACAGCAAGAATTACCCAAGCCTTCAAATAAATGCTGAGAGTGCCATCACACTTGCTGAAATGCAGCCTTCCAAGGACAACATGGAGAACCTAGAGAAAAACTCACTCATATGCCAAGACAATCTCTAACGAAAGGGTCAAGACCGTTCAGTGTATAAAAGACATCCCCTTCAGGAAATGGTACTGGAGAAACTGGATATCCACTTGCAAAGGAATGAAGATGGAAGCAGTACATATAAAAACTTAACTCAAAATGGATTATATACCTGAATGTAAGATTCAAACCTCACACTGCTGAAAGGGAACAGGAAAAAGCTTCAAGACATTGGAATTAATATGGATTTCTCAGATATGACACTGAAAGCACAGCAGCAGAAAAGGAAAGCAGAGAAGATAGAATTACATCACACATAACAAGACTTACACATCAAAGCACACAATCAACAAAGTGAAGAGAGAATCTGAAAAATAGTAGATACACGCAAATTATATGTTTGATAAGATGTTAATATGCAGAAGATACTTTGTATTTTAATTTTTAAAAATATTTTTGTCTCACAACTCAAATGACAGGAAACACATTCAACAATACGCCAATGCTTTTCTAGATATGTTTTCAAGGTGATAATATCATCTAAGACATAAAAGGTGGCAGAAAGAATACCTTACATCTGTTAGAACGACTGCCATAAAAAAAATAGTAGTAAGTATTGGTGAGAATGTACAAAACTTGAAACCTCTGTACACTATGGTAATAGAATAGCACAACTGTTGCAGAAAACAATATGGAAGATATTCAGAAAACTGGCCAACAGCATTATATCAAATACAGAGTCTCAGTGTGTTAACTGGGGCTGGTGCCGCAGTGGATCCAGGCTGCCAGAAAAACTACTCCTAACAGGAAGATATTCAGAAAATCCATAGTCTAGCTACCATATGATTCATCAATCTCACTTCTGCATCTATGCCCAAAATTGAAAGTAGGGTCTCGAAAAATATTTTGGATACTCACACTTACAACAGCACTAGACACAAAAGCCAGGAGCTGGAGATAAAGCCAAATGTTCACCAATGGATGGATTTAAAATATGTTACGAAATGGTTATTATTCAGTCTTAAAAATGAAGGAGCTACTGTCTCAGTTTATAACATGTAGTTATCAGGCTCCTTGAAACATGTCAATCATCAACAGTTACAGCAATTTTTTTATATCCAAACAGATGATCTCTACTGTTGAACTTCATTGACCAAAAAGATGATCAGATCATGTACAAGAAGTCATCTCATTTAATCAGTAACTGTTTCCAGGGTGGAGAGAAGGCTCATCAGTTAATTGAACTTGCTCTTCTAGAGGAGCTGAGTTTAGTTCCTAGCATCCACATTGCAGCTCATAATTGCCTATAACTCCACCTCCAGGGGATCTCTTCAGTCACCCACATATACATGCCATACACAAAGAGACATATGCACATAAATACAAACAGAAGTAAATCTTTAAAAAAAGTAACTAATCCTAACTTCTTCATTGTCTCTATTAAAACGAATGTAAAAGTAACCTGGGCTGAATGTATCCATAGTTCTTCCCTGGACAGGAAGTGTGATAGTAAAAAACATACTCTTACCAGACATGGTGACACAAGCCTTTAATCCCAGGACTTGGGAGAAAGAGGCAGGAGGTTCGTGTTTTGCCAGCCTGGTCTACAGAGTGAGTGAGTTCTAGGACAGTCATGGCTTCATAGTAAAACCCTGTCTCAAAACATCAAATAGTCATCCCTGAAAATATGCAAACAAGTAACGTTATACAGACTGAGCAGACTGTACTCACATATTTAGGAACATACACAAAAACTCCTTGTGGGTAACACATATCAGAAAACCTTCGAATAGTCCTGTAAAATTCAAAGCACTTCTACTGGCCACATCTGTGTTGTTTCTAAATTCATATAAAGTATTCAGAAGAAAATTATAAATATAAATGATAAAATGTTGCATGGCCACGGATGTCATAATGTATACAGAAATGTATACACATATGATTGTCATCATATCCTCTAAATTTAAGAGTGGAAGACAGTGCATGTATACACAAGGAGTCAAGCTTTTTCTTCCTCCTTCAAGTCATAACAATCCTACACATTTACCAGCCAGATTAACTGCAGGCTGTGAAAATCACACAGAACAACAAAAATTATAAAAGGTATTCCAATTATTTATTTAAAACAACACAGGTAGCTCAGTGGGAAAGAGTAGTGCACTGCTCTTACAAAGGACCCATGTTCGATTCCCAGCACTCAGTTCACAACTGACTGTAACTTTGATCCCAGAGGATTTGATATCTCCTTCTGTTACCCAAGGACATCAAGCATGCAGATGGAGCACACACGTATGCAGACAAAACACTCATATGCATAAAATAAAAATAAGTAAATCTTTAAAATGAACAGGTAAAGCTGTATCTTAAATTTAGGAAATCAATAGGAATACCTGTTTTGCTACATAGTAGGCTAATGAACACAAACAATAAATAGATGAATGCTATAAACATTACCCTTCATGACCGTGAGAAAAGAATGATAAACAAGGTGACGTGTAACTGAAAGAATCTTCTGAGCATGGTGGTGTACATCTGAGATCCCAGAAGGCTACTACGGCAGGAAGTTCATGAGTTTGAGGTCAATCTGACCTGTGCTGTGTAAGGTAGGTATCCTGGGCTTCACATGGAAGCCCTCACTTCAAATCTACCTAAATAAATGAATGAGGGAATTACAATTATCATAATTCAAAATTGAGAGGCAAAAGGTGACCAGATAAAAGAGATTCATAACGAAGAGAGGAATGAGGTGAGCCAGTACAAGAATATATGCAAGAAGTGTGGAGCTGTGGGAGGAAGACCTTCCTCCTCTAACTCAGACCCACTTTAGTAAAACCAGTTAAGCAAGTTAGCAGGTTGGACAAAAACTGTATTTCGTTCACCTCATTCAGGATTTCCACAGTAACTACCTACACAGTTACTGGTCATTATGGCCAGAACAGAGTATTCAATGTAACAGATTTTAAACCCTGGATACACAAAATGAAATCAGAGCTACTGATAAGATTAAATGATGCACAATTTTCAAGTCTGAAAACAGTTTATAACAAACTTGTATTATTTTTGTCCTGGCTTTAACCTCAGCAGCATTCTGATTTCCCACATCTTTTCCAACATCCTATCATAACATAATCTATAATTAATGTGACTTTTTCATTCAAATCAGTTACTTCGTGCTTTGAAAAAAGGGAAAGTACTCTATGAAGCTAATTAGTTGCAGTATTAATGTCCAGTGCCTGTCAAAGGCAACATTCAAAATAAAAACTGAAAAACTGTTTTTGCTCTTCGTTACACATATAACTGTAGCAACAGAATATTCTCTGTGAGATGATTATAAAAGCTCCCACATTGAACTTAAAGAAGTAAAAGCAAAATATAAATACAGCACTTGTGTGGATTTTCACAGTAATTTTTAGGTTATCAAGGAAACATCTAGAGTGTTGATCTGGTTATACTCAATTCAAACAAACTACTTGTCACATTAACTACCTCCAGGAAGTTACTCCAAACACAAAATAAACTGTTTATGCCCCTACTCAGATAGATAACATGACAGATTGTTATTAGTTGAAGACAGATGAGATACATTAATTTGATTGTGAGCATGTGTTTAATTTTACCCTGCCATGCACACTCTCTAATGCTGTCTTTCTATGATGCCACAGTAAATCATGCCATATTAGAAGAATTGCTAACTCAAGAAAATAAAAAA